GCGTTATCAAAATGGAAGTCGTTGACCGTCTGTAAAGTTGATCCCCCCCCCCCCGCTTTCTCAAAACGATACTATGTGGCCGATTTCCTAATACTATCCGTGGATGTTTTATTCTTTGCAGGCAATTGCATGAACTATCATGCTAGAAGTAAAAAAAATAGTTGGCCACTCTTAGATTTATTTACATCTTTAATGAAGCTACAAAGCAATACATGCTTCTTTGGAACACTCTAGTCTCCCAAGTATAACCTTTTACTGTTGAGAATGTTCATTGAAAGGCCTTTCCCCCACTTTTGGGTTGCAGTATTATCGAAGTCATCCTTTGGCAATAGTGTATAAATAAAATTTGTTTGTGAAAAAAACCCACACAAATACCCTTTCAACGAGATAGGATTTTTAATTTTGACAATTCCCCCCTCCCCCCTTTTTTTTGCTTGTTAAAGATTTTTTCAGGTAAGTTGTCAGATATTTTTCTGCCCCCCCCCCCCTCTTTCGAAAACAAAATTATGTGCCTATTTTTTTAAAAAAAAGTTGGATACACAGGTGACAAGGTAAGGGACATAATTATTCGTTTTTAAATTTGTTCTCTCACGCAGGATATCAGGAACAAATGGCGTCCGATTCATCGTTCTAAACCGTACATAGTTTTGTAAACATTGTCATCCAAACATGTTACGTTGTTCTTGCACATCACCAATTGGAACAGTTTCTTTACATCAAATTCGAGGATTTATAACAGAACTGACAGGATAAATAATTGCTTTTAGATATAATTGTCTTTTAGTTGTAAAATTACACTAAATGTCCATTATATAAAGCTAAAATCATTCGAAGATTTAAAGCGGTTGTTTAACTTCGCTATTTTCTCTTCATCCAAACAAGTCACAACCGGTGCGGATACACAACAGTGAATGTGGCAGAAATGAAAATCCAAATTTACTCTTTATAATTAAAAAATATAACAATACTTCAAATATTTAATTAGATAGTTGCTTCATAGATCTTAGTTTGACAATGTCGATTGTGTTGGGAATCTTCCAAACTCACAGTGAAGCAATGTGAATATGATGGGACTTTTAAACAGTACTCAGTGACGTAAGCGGAGTCACGGACAACGGTTTTTACTCCTCAATCAAATATTCACAGCAGTGAAGGAGAAAATTCAGAAATACTGTATAACAGTATATTCGGAAAGTGATGAAAATCAGATGTGGATACTAAAAAATTCAAAAGAACTTTTAGAATATTTGAAATCACAAAATTTCAACAGAATTAAAACAACATAGACTTTCTGACATCACAGGCAGCTTCATTTTCAATAAAAATGGAACTCGTAAATATACTTATCTTGTCATTGGTCGTTTGCAAAACTATTAAAAAAAAACAAACATTGATTATTCAAACAAGTACTCTGAAGTTGATATTTAAATGATGCAAGTTTCTGATTAACAATATCAATGTGGTGTTTGGAGACCAGGTCTTCCAACAATCTATTGGAATTCCCATGGGTACCAATTGCGCCCCGTTATTAGCAGACCTACTTTGTATTTTTATGAAGCAGAATTCATTCAAATACGTCTACATGAGAAGAAGAAAACACTTGTTGTGGCCTTCAACTGGACATTTAGATATATCGACAAGTATCAATTTACAATAGTTACTTCCATTCATATGTCTATCCGATATATCCCAGTGAACTTGAAATGAAGGACACCACAGAGTCTGGCACATCTGTTTCATATATTGACATTTTACTAAAAAAAGACGTTTATGGTAACATAACAACAAAACTTTATGATAAATGTGATGACTTCAACTTTTCTATCGTCAGCTTGCCTTACTTAAGCAGCAATATAACCTTATCATCTGCATATGGGATTTATGTCTCTCAGTTGATTCCGATATGAAAGAGCATGCTCTACGTTCAATCAATTTCTAAAATGAGGCAAGCTATTGACAAACAAGTTGACGAAACAAGAATAACAACAGTCTCGTTTAAAGTCATCATTTTCTATGGTCGATACAATGACCTTGTCAGCAAATACAATTTATCATTGAGTCAAATGCTGACTGACGTTTTTCATACTAATTGTTACACCATCATTTACACACTGAATTGTCTACAGATTTTCCCGCTATTTACCGATTATGACCAGGAGCACACGGAGGGCGTGAATGGTCGGCAGGGGATGCTCACTCCTACATGGCACCTGATCCCGCCTCCGATGTTTTTAGATGTCCGTATTTGCTCTGCTCCCGATTTGTATTGTTAAAATGAATTTTGAGCTTAAATACTGTTTGTTATTTCCATATTTCACGATAAAATTCAAAACAGACACTACACAAGTTTATAATATAGGGAGAGAGAGGGGAAATCATTTATGTAGATTTTGACTGATCGCTTTTCTTTAGCAAAGTTCTAATAAAAGGGCATTGTATAAATGTTCAACGGCAACAAAAAAAGTCACGTAAGCAAGCAAATAATGATGACATTTTTTTCGGCTTGACCAAGATCAAGTGCACAGATTGGTTGCAATTTAACAAAAATTCAAATGAAACGTATTACAAGTATGTTCTATGTAACATGTCTGAAGTTTCTGTCTATTTCTGACAAGCGATTAAAAATGTTTTACTCTTACTATTCAAGCTTCCCACGAGGGCTACGGACTTTACATATCCAGACATAACATATACATTAATTATATTCAGCTGGAAAAAAGTATAATTCAAATACAAACTCTTCAAAAAAATTTGTCTGAGCAAAAAAAAAGAGAGAAAAAAAAAGAAAAGAAAAAAAGCACTTAACTCATTTCCTTTAAAGTGATACAGTTTATAAAGGACATTGATAAATTTGTAAAGATTTGAGACTTTTTTCCACTCTTAGTATTTGGACGTTTAAAGAAAATATACATTAAAGTACTTTCAATTTTCAAAACATACCGTATACTGTATATAGAGATTAAACTTTCAAGCCTTTTTGGTAGTATTCGCAGAAAAAAAATTTTTGTCAGGTATTTTTTGATTGCCTTTAGTGAAACTTTAGACTACCGACTATCCATATAGCATTTTATATTCTATGAGAGACCATGAAAAAATAATTGCTTGTATCAGTTAATATATAAATTATCATCAAGGAATTTACTTGTTTTAAATAGATCCTTTCATTTGGATATTAAATCCATTTATTCAAAACTCCTGTAAAATATTTAACATAATAAAACCAAAAACTTCCTTTATATTCACAATACAAGTAAAAAAAATATCAGAACAAAATAATACATGTCAGAATTACGTGTAATTGGTGTTTTGATATCAAATATAGTATAAGACCATCTGAAGACCAAAAATGAGCTTAAACTTAGCAACTTAGAAGGATGAATTTTATGTGGGCACTGGAGATACAGTCTTTACCATTAAACATTTCTATTTTGGACAATTAACTTAGACATATTATAACTGTATAATTAAATTTTGGCCATCTTTTTGAATTATTTTGTTTCCTATAAGAGTTGGCGCCACTTATTTTGAGTATTTATAATATCCTGGTTATCTAATGTACTGTGTACTTTTAATGCCAAATGAAATCCCAGTTCAACTAATTACAACAGAAGTGGTGTTCAACCTGTAATGAATAAAAACAACAAGATCTGTAAATCAATTCATGGCTTTTTTTGAGGGGGGTGATTATTTTGCTTCATATTTTTTCTTCGTTTTGATTTTAATGTAATACACGTAGATTAAAATGGTCACTCAAAAGGTGTATGTAATTTATCATGGTGCAATATAGAAGAAATTTAAAAACATGATTGTATCATAACCATTTGGAGTTTTAAAAAACAGTACAATATTTATCCATAAATTAGCAATTCAATGATATGTAGATTGTGTTATGTTAAGGTCTCACTTTTGTACAAAATCGCAAAATAAGGAGTGGATCCTTATGTTTTGGGATCAAATCACACTTTTGGGATGTTGACTGTTTGAGGAGAACTAATAAACCAAAGCCTCTTTTTGCAAGTCAGAAAAAAATCTCTCACTATACATTTATATAGTTAAATATTCGAAATTTTATGTTTAGCATCTGTAGCCCTTTTGCAGGTAAGATATGTATGACTAAATATTCTTTTAAAAATATTCCAATCTTAATTATTCTAGATGGATGGATAGTATGTATCACAAGGATACCTTTATCATGTATATTTAGAAATATTTTGTGAATACAGGCAAAACTGGAGACTACAGAAGCAAGCTTTTAGTAGAAAAATGTTAAATTTCAGGACATTTTATCTTTGATTACAGTGATATGTATATTTAAGAACATTGAATTTGTTCCAGAAAAAATATTGTTGTATCGTAGTTATTGTAACAATAATGTATATGTTTTTTTTTCTGGAAGTTATTATATCAGGTAACGGACTATATACAGGACACCAATTATTCAACCTTTTTGACATCATAGACAGCTGTTTTTCAATAAAAATGGACTCGTAATTTACTTACCTTGTCATTGGTTATTTGCAAAATTATTTTGTTAAAAAGCATTCTGATTGTACACACAAGTACTCTGAAGTTCTAAAAAGATGCTTGAGTTTCTGATTAACAATATCTATGTAGTGTTTGGAGATCAGGTCTTCCAACAATCTGTTGGAATTTCCATGGGTAACCATTGTCGATCAAAATTGAAAAAAATCGATTCCTTTCAGTCACCGAAGTTACCATCAACAGAGTCTTCATAAATCATTAACAGACAACTTAACCAAAAAGATACACAAGAGATATGTAAATGCTCAAAACAGTGATGATCTTAGTAAGAATCACCATGATAAAATTGGATTACTTTATTGTTTAACACCACAAAAACTACTTCAATGGAAAAATCTGCTTTTCTTAAGACCATTTGTCTGTACGTCATTGGGCAAATCCTACCTCCTTTACGAATATGCTATTCTCAGTGCCTCGACCCAAAAACCGTAATCGTTAGCAATTACGAACATTCATATATGCCTGGTTTCAACCTTTTGACCAATGTGGACATCGGAAGGTGCATGCGAGTTTGTTATAAGTTTAGTTTGTGTCAATCGGTGGACTGGACACGAGAAAAAAAGACATGCTGGCTAAACACAAGATATTCGAACAAGAATGTCAGTAACTTGAGAACTGAAAACCGCCTCATTCATATTGACCGGGAGAATTTTCCAGAGGTAAGAATGAATGAAGGACGTTAGCGGAGAAATTTTTAATATTTTAATATGAATTTAGTTACATATATAATTCTCTTTATTTACCCCTTACAATATATTAAAAGCATGTCGAGAAACTTCAGGAGTATTGTACAGCATACTTGAGTGGTGTTAATCAAATGAATATACTTAAAACTCCAATAAACTTGATATAAATTTGAACTCACAAAATTTCTTAAAAAATACAATAGTTAACCATAGTAAATCGACATTTCAAGGTTCTTACTTAAGTCAATCAAAGTTTCAAAGTTTTCACCAAAGTAAATCAAAGTATCAAAGTTTTCAATATAATTAATCAAAGTATCAAATTTTTCACTATAGTTAATCAATGTATCAAAGTTTTCACTATAGTAATTCAAAATATAGAAATTTTCACTATAGTAAATCAAAGTATCAAAATTATCAGTATAGCAATAGACGTTTAGATGTGGCTGCAGCAACCCTCTTGTGTACCTTCATATCTTCATTCATGTCCATCTGTGCACACTTTTAAAGATATCTTAAATCCCATCTTTTTGGAAAGCAGTTGGTTAATTTTTTTATCTTGGCAGAGTTACTATAGTTTCTTTTTTTTTTATTTTAGATAGTTATTTATGTAAGATCATATCAATAACTCTTAAATTGATTATTTTATTATAATAATTTTTTGCTCGTACCATATTAAATTAATTTATTATGTTAAAACATTAGATTCATCAATTATTTCATAATTTAAATATTTATAATTGTTATAAAATATTAAATTTAATCTCATGCAATTCAATACTATTTTTATTCCTTATAATGTTTTTATATATTTATAAACGTATTTATATTTTTGTACAGAACTTTGATTGTTTCTTATTAAAATAGGTGCATTATGTTTAAATAATATTAATAATAATAATAATAATAGTAAATCAAAGTTTCAAAGTTTTCACTTTAATTTTTTAAACCAAAGTATTAAAGTTTTTACTTAAATATGAGTATTATATTTTTTGCTGAAAGTAATTTAGTTCAAAAGAAAGCAGCATCTTTTTATTGTCCTACCGGTAAAACCAAGGGGACTGCATCTGTCCGTCTGTCAAACACTAATGTTTTAAATTTAAGATAATCGTGATGACTTCTACTTTCTTTCGTCAACTTCCCTTTTTTATGTAGCAATATACAATTATGGTTTGCATATGGAGTTAAGGTCTCCCAAATAATTTGATAGCAAGAGCATGTTCTACGTACATAATTTCAAAAACATGGCCCTCTATTGATAAATAAGTTATGATTCAAGGATATTAACAACGTATTTTCAATGTAACATTGTAACATTTTGGAAATTATATGCTCGATACACTGATCTTGTTTGCAAATACAATCTATCGTTAAGTCGAATGTTGACTGACTTTTTCATATAAACTGTCAGGCCATTTTTTACAGTGTTAATCCACGGATTTTTCCGTCTACCCGATCAGGAAACAACCTGCAGGCATAAACACTGGACAAAGGATACTCACTCTTCCATGACACCTGATCCTAACTGTGTTTTAAGGGGTCTGTGATAGTTTTGCTAATATTTGTTTCCATTAATTTCATCCTTGAAATTATTTCCTTTCAGCACATGACCGGAACTTGTCTAAACCATACCTGTTCTGAAGATTCTTTCTGTGCTCGTGATGGTAACTGTGTAACTGTTTTAAAAGGTAACATACCATTCAATTTTTCTGCAGGTAGAGACTCAAAGGTGTATTAAGCCTTATTTTCCATATTTGTTGAAATTAAAAATTTTAAAATTTTGACTGTTTACCACTTCGATCGTTATTATATAGCATTATTCTATAACGTTTTTGTGATTACGTTCATCCAGGTTCTTTCTTATTGGTTACTTTAAAAGATAAGCCGAACCCATTAATTTATTAAAAAAATGTCGATTTCTATAACATTTTATATTGTAAGACAGCAATGATAACTGAACATCGACATCACACACAAGAGTACTGACTGCAAGATTATTAAAAAATGCTGAGGTGTCCATCTTACGCATTTCATGACATGATCTAGTACCTAACTGTAATCTTTGCTATTCTTCGCAAGAACTGAGCTTGGCTTAAGATTTTTTAAGACAAATTCGGTAAGAAACGGCTAGACATAATACAATATTTTAGTGTTTTCAATCAAGGCCATGCTTAGTTCATCGGCAGTCTAAATAAGGAATATGCATTTATTGACTTGTTTCGAAGAATCGAAGACCAAGAACCATATGAAACTGTTTGCCAGAGGCCGTTAGGTGCATGCAAGCATTTGGTTCGAGGGGTCAGCAAAACGCATTTAAGTTACCCGAGAACACAATTTATGTTTTTATACCTAAAACTTCTTTTGACATAACTTACGTTGTCTTCCATGGTTGCGATAATTGATGAGACAAAGCTGATTCCTCTTCTTTGTGAAAAAAAAAGTCATTGTCAGTTATAATTGGGGGAAACAGACGCAGTAAAACGAGGAAATCTTTTGACAAACAAGTTGATGAAATACGGATATCAACAGTTTCATTTGAAGTAAAATTTTGCAAGTTTTTTGGATGATACAATGAACTTATCAGCAAATACAACCTATCATTTACTCAAATGCTGACTATCGTTTTTCTTACAAATTGTTATTCCATTATTTATACACTGAATTGTGGTTTTCCGATCATGACAAAGAGCACACGGCGGGTATGGCCGGTCGACAGGGGATGCTGACTCCTCCATGGCACCTGATTCCACCTCTGATATTTTAGAGGTCCGTGTTTGCTCTGCTCCTGATTCGTATCGTTTGAATGGACTTTTGAAATTGAATACTGTTCGTTATCTCCATATATTTCACATAAAATAGAACAAAGATACAAGGATTGTGAGGAGATCATGAAAAAAGACCCCAGCAAGAAAGGACAAGATGGAGTGTATGTTATTTACCTTGACTCCTGGAAAGAAGTTTTCTGTGACATGACGATAGATGGAGGAGGGTGGACGGTAAGGTGCTTTTTGAGTCAATACTAAATATTTGATTGAATGGCTTTGAATAAGGAAGTAATTTTATTGCAGAATTGGCAAATTAAATGATTAAAACTAGACAAGTTTGTTTAAAAAGGCCAGAATCCCAATGACGACGGAGGGCTTACGGTAAGTGTTGCAGGTCGATTGGGGATTCCTCCTCCTCCATAGCACCTCTGTTTTCAGAGTTTAGTGTTTACTCTGATCTTAATTCATATTGTTGAATTAGACTTTTAGAATGATAAGCGTTCCTTTCCTACATGACAATAAATAAAAACTGCATTTTTAAATTTTTTCAGAAAGATAATAGCGAATCGTCCCACAAACTTTGGGGGATTTTGGGCGAATGCCTTCCACTCACACACATTGTCAATAAAATATATTCAAAAAGAAACAAGTAACTGATGTTTATCCCCATCTCCCCTAAGTCAATTAAAATAGATACATATTATGTATATAAATAGATATGTCTGTAATTTTAAAAAGAGATTGATATATTACAAATATAAATCTGTAGATATTTACCCTAGGAAAGAATATTTTTTAATCTGTTTTTCCCCCATATCTGACAAGAAGCTGTTATTAAATCACCAAATTTTAATGCACAGGTAATTCAGAAACGAGAAGATGGGAACCTCAGTTTTTACAGAACATGGCATGAGTACAAACAGGGATTTGGTAATGCCTCTAAAAACTTCTGGATAGGTATGCCTGTATATTTCTTTTTTCTGTAACATATTTTGTTTTAATGCTTATTTTTCCATTATCACTGAAATCTACATCATATAGAATTATAAAGCATGCATATACCATCAAATCACTACATAATGTAAATCGTATGCTTTCGATATTGCTTTTCATAACAACATTTCGATCTGTCTTTTTTTTTTTAAATTATGACAAAACTATAATTAATTGCAAGAAACACACTGTTAAGGATATAGGATGAAAGCACACCTTCAGCTGTTAGGACTGTTAGAGAAGCTCCCAGATTTTTTTTGATACTTTTTTTGTATTATCTTTAAACTTTTCCTTATTGTAGTTACTTTCAATTTTTTTTTATTATTGTTTTTATTATCTGTTCTTAAGAATTATTTTTTTATTCTTCAAGACATGGGATCAAAATCAACGACTCTAATCAATAACTCATTCATCAATTCTCAACTTTCAATTTTTTTTTATTATTGTTTTTATTATCTGTTCTTAAGAATTATTTTTTTATTCTTCAAGACATGGGATCAAAATCAACGACTCTAATCAATAACTCATTCATCAATTCTCAATTTTTTTTTTACAATTATCGAAAAAGGGAATGGCGCAATCCATGCTTTAACCAAAGATCAGGACCAAGAACTGCGAGTAGATCTCCAGAGATTTAATGGAGAGACAGCGTATGCTAAATATTCAACGTTTTACATCGGAAATGAGACAGAGAAATACACACTCACAGTATCCGGGTACAAGGGAACTGCAGGTATTTTATTTCATTGTAATAACGTGTTTTGTAGCTCTATTGCAATCAGCATCAGTTTATCAGATTTTTAGGTTAACATTCGGCAGCACAATATTATATATGGACATAAATGGCGAGGAGAACTGGAATCTTCAAAAATTGTAATGCTACAATGAATATTAAATTATTAGAAAAGTACGTATCCTCTCAATCAAAATCAATAACTCAGTAGTGCGCCTTGGATCAATCTACTGATCGCGTAGATAATTACAGCATACTATTCATGCTTTTGTTGAGGTTACTTCTAGTAATTTAAATGATAATAGTAAATTTTTGTCGTTGAACGTAGGGTTTAATATTACAATTGTAGTTTAGAAGAAGCAGGATTTTATTTTACTTCTAGAATTCCACTGTGCACTCCAAGATCCCTTACAAATGATTGAATTCTTCAAATTGACCTTTCAGTCTTTTATACTTTAACCATTCCAGTCAACAAAAGTGCATTCAATTTACCCTATCTTTACTCTAACTATCAAAAATTCGTAAAAATCCTTCCAACAAAAATACGTTGCATCTTCCAGTAACTACTTTACTAGACCCCTTTACTTCTCACAAAAATATTAAATGTTGTACAGTGATATAAAAACTTCAATGAGTGATGTAAATCATACGTGGATTCAGAAAAACTTTTTGAAAAACCTTTTGATATCATAGACAACTGTTTCCTAACTTAAAATGGAACTCTTAAATTTACCAGTCTATGTACGCGTGCGAGGAATATCTGCGAGATCCTTGAACAACTAAAGCTCACGGATATTTATAGTCACAAACCATTTATTCTCTATGAATAAATTAAATATAAATATAATTTTTATGTTTTCATAATAACCATCTTTAAAACTCTGACAGTCAATGCTATTATATGTGCCGCATATTTTGCGTACGGCAAAAATGTTTGAAGCTGTATTATTCTCTAGGAGCGACAATATGATCAGAGAAGTTTTGCTCGTAATGTTGCCAATATATGCAGGGCAACTATACATTCTAATACATGCCCTGACTAAACATATATCTATAAAATTAATTAATCTCACAATATTGTTATATAAATGCATAAATAAACAAGTTATTTTTTTTAGTTTGTTTGTTGTTTGGTTGTAAAAAAAAAAAAAAAAAAAAAAAAAAAAAAGATTTATTGTAATTCACTGTAACTGATTGATTGGTTACATATTGTTTTACGTCCCATTCAAGAATTTTTCACTCGTATAGAGACGTCTCCATGTAAAGGTGAAGGGCTTCAAATTTAGACCCTAAATCGGTTCTCCTATCCATTGAGCACTGAGGGCCAACGCCTGCCGTGACACAGGGCCTCGGTTTTTAAGGTCTCAATCGAAGGATCCGTAACTTTCACTTCAAAGTGCCGAGCGCTTGGCGAAGGAACAGTTACTACCTATTTTGTATCATCTCAAGTCAGTCTCGGCCGGAATTCGACACAACGACCTTCCGATATCAGAGCAAGCGCTCTACCGACTGAGCTACCGTGACGATTAATTATCTCTATTAATGTTGACACTTTAGATAGATATTATATTTGAAGTTATTTTCTCTGTTCTAGGTGACAGCTTGGCTCCACATAATGGTATGAGATTCAGCACAAAAGACCAAGATAATGATCACTCTAGTAATAGCTGTGCTAGATCACATTACGGAGCCTGGTGGTACAATTCTTGTACCAACTCAAACCTGAACGGGAACTATGCACAGTCTGCAGTGAATAGTTCTAAATCTCCATACTGGTATCGCTGGACAAGAGGATATATAGCACTAAAAAAGACTGCTATGATGATAAGACACAAACACGAAGTATAATCTGAACTATAAGAGGAATTTCTCAAACAAATTGTATTTGCCACTTCATATCATTAATTTATCTCTGTATATAATTTATTTTGTGATGAAATGTCAAAAGAAACATTTTGTGTTGCTATCGATCCGAATTCTGCACTTAAATTCGTAGAAAAGCCAAAGATGAAGTAATACAAAATAGAAGGTCGAGCTAAGAAGAAAATTTTGGAGGTTGCATGGTTGAAATAAAGGCTCATTTAGCACCTGTCCAGTAGCATCCTTTTAAATATATCTTACAAAACTGAATCCGAAAAACACCCGTCTGTGGCAGCGACCACGAGAAACATTCCTAGATAGTGACTACGTATGGGAGACGAAACAACCCTGTGAAAAAAAAAATCCCTTTGTTACTTTATGTCTTAACTCAGTAAAAAAAAGTGGCCTCTCCACAAATTACTCAATTAGAGTCACCGGAACCAGCATCTTTTTTAAAACAACTTTGTTGATTCCTAAATTATATCCGTAACTAGCCACAAATCTGTGAATTCCCTTGCTGTATATCATCGAGTTTTACATAAATCACTCAAATAGGGTCATCGGAGCCAGCATCCTTTTAAGAAACAACTGATTCCAAAGTTATGTCCATTATTGGCCACAAATCTGTAAATTCCCTTGCTGTATATCTTCGAGTTTACAACTGATTCCAAAGTTATGTCCATTATTGGCCACAAAATCTGTGAATTCCCTTGCTGTATATCATCGAGTTTACAACTGATTCCAAAGTTATGTCCATTATTGGCCACAAATCTGTGAATTCCCTTGCTGTATATCATCGAGTTTACAACTGATTCCAAAGTTATGTCCATTATTGGCCACAAATCTGTGAATTCCCTTGCTGTATATCATCCGTAAGTAGCCACAAATCTGTGAATTCCCTTGCTGTATATCATCCGTAAGTAGCCACAAATCTGTGAATTCCCTTGCTGTATATCATCGAGTTTACAACTGATTCCAAAGTTATGTCCATTATTGGCCACAAATCTGTGAATTCTCTTGTTGTATATCATCGAGTTTACAACTGATTCCAAAGTTATGTCCATTATTGGCCACAAATCTGTGAATTCTCTTGTTGTATATCATCGAGTTTCAGAACATGAAAACATGCAGATGAGTAAGGCTATTCAAATCACTGTAATTATGTTAAAAAAACTTTTTTGGCTTAAATTTCATAGTGTTCATTATTTTTGTTTAATTAAAGATGTTGGATTAATTTAAACTTGTCTTCAAAATTTTACTTTTCATGAGCAGCGTGTAGATTTATTTTGATGAGTCAATAAATGACATATCTCGAAAGTATAATATATCCTTGATTGGAAGTGGTTAACAAATTTATTTGGTTACATAGGAAATAAATTCGTTATCCAGGTCCAGTCAAGGTTTGATCTCAGGCTTTATAGAATACAAGCCGGGATAAATCCCCGTAATCCCTTGATTGAACTGGATAACTCATAATATTGTAGAAAGATACCTTTAAAAGAGTTAGCAATAGAATATTGGAGATCTAATCTGGACTTTATAATGGTGGTAAATATGTTTTAAAATTCACCAAGTTAATATAAACGTTGTTTTAAGTCATTTTACATTGTCCATACTTATCATTAATCATTCATATTGTTTTAAC